TGCAACTGTTAACTCCATTGAGTGGACTCTAACTACACTGATGGTCAGTAGAAATCCTAGATGTATTTACATTAATTAGTTTTACTAGTAGAAGTAACTATTTTTATAACTTACAAACATTTACAGAGAGGTGGTGAACCAATTGACCGGGAATACCTTCAGTTATGGCAAGGAGATGTGACATCCAATCATACCGTAACTGAATCCTCAGAGTATTTAGAGTCCGAAGTACGGCGAACGCAGATGGAACACATCATTATGGTAATTTACCAGTATAATCATTTACTTACCTTTTAACCATTCCTAATAGCACCCCATCGTAATAAGTAATTAATACAATTGCTAATAACTTTTAATTTATTCCAGCTTGAGCCTGCGCTTCTGATGAATACTGACTCCCACTTCACAAATACAAGAGGAAATATCCTCATATATTTAGCCAGAACGGCTCCACTGCCTCCAATCGGCTATCATCAGATATCCTATGTAAGTAAATATAACTAGCTATTATATATTTTCACTGTAAGTATATAATAGAATGTTGGTTTATCTTTTTTTCTTTTACAGTCAGAAGCAGCAGACCGTTTTGTCCAAATATTAAGATCTGTGAATGGGGGTCATTTAACAATAGAGTTCAGCACCAGGTATGAAGATTACCACAGAAGGCCACGTGATCCATTTTGGGTACTCATCACGCATGAGGTAAGACTATTATCAATTATCAATTATCAATCATTAAGATGGGGACGCCACTTAGGTGCGTATTTTAACCCAAATATGAGTGAAGGATGAGTGTAGAATGGTGTGAGATGCAGGCCCGTTTTTGACCATGTCAGCGCCCTAGGCACAACTAATAGTAGCGCCCCTTTGCAATATATAACAGGGTGACCACCAACCGGGAAATCCGGAAACTAAGCGTGAATTTTTTTGACCAGGAATTATGTGTTAATTTTCTATTTCTACCTGGAATTGTCAATTTACAACAGTGACGTTTCCGTGACCACGGGAGACGGGAGACGATAATATGTCTCCACAAGGCCTCGAGGGATGATCAGAACTTTGCCGCGATCGCATGAGATGATAATAATATCTAAACGACCGCGGGATATGATCATGATTTTACCGCGATCGCGCAATACGATAATGAGATCCACAGAGCCGTGTAGGATAATCAGAATATTGCCGCGATCGCATGATACGATGATAATGTCTAAACGACCATGGGATATGATCATGATTTTACCGCGATCGCGCGGAACACAGTCAGAAATTTGCCACGATCGCGGAAGACGATAATGATATCCACATAACTGCGGGATATTATTAACATTTTGCCGTAATCGCGGGAGACAATTACGATGTCTTCACGACAGCGGGAGACGATTACGATGTCTTCACGACCGCAGGAGACGATTACGATGTCTTCACGATCGCGCGGAGACGATTACGATGTCTTCACGATCGCGGCAGACGATTACGATGTCTTCACGACCGAGGGAGACGATTATATGATGTCTTCACGACAGCGGGGGACGATTGAGATGTCTACAGGATCACGGGAGTTACAATAATGATGTCTACTCGACACGGCTGCGAGGGATGATCAGAATTTTACCGCAATCGCGTAAGACGATGATAATGTCCACTCAACCACGGGAAAGATCAGAAATTTGCCTCATTCGTGAAAGACGATGACTATCTCCAAACAACCGCGGGAGATGATTACCATTTGCCGCAATGGCGGGAGAGGATGACAATGCCTCACGACCACGGGAGGCGATGATGTCTTCACGGCTGTGAGGGATTATCAGAATTTTATCGTGATCACGCAAGAAGATGATAATGTCCACACGACCCCGGGAAAATATTACAATTTTGCCTCATTCGCGGTAGACGGTGATAATCTCATCACGACCGCGGGATGTGTTCATATATTGCCGCGATCAAGGAAGACGATAATTATGTCCACACATCCGCTGGAAATAGTCAGAACTTTGACGCGATCGCGGGAGACGGACGATGATGACGTATATACAACCGCGGTAAATAATTAACATCTTGCCGCGATTGTGGGAGACTGAGGTGTCTTCACGGCCGCAAGGGATTTACCGCGATCGCATGCAAAAACGACCACAATTTTTTTTTTTTCCAATTTTTTGGCGCCCCCCAAAAATGCCAATTGCTTCGCGCCCTAGGCACGTGCCTACCTTGCCTATTCGGTAAATCGGCCCTGGATGATCTGTGTAGCTTTGTTACTGACTAAGATCAGCTGTTTCATTAGCCAGGATCATTTATTTAAAGCCCAATGATCAGGAGAGCTGGGTCCAGTTTCGAACCATCAAAAAGCTACTGACTTTTCTCAGGATCGAACCGGCGACCTTTTGATAAGTATCAATGTTCACTATTAAATAGTACAGTAGTATGATTTAGTACCATGTAAAATATTTATTGCATAATTTACATCATTTTGTTTTTCAGAATAACGGCAGAATTCCTGATGGAACACGCTGGTTGTATTACAATTCGACCGGCGAAGGGTCCTACATTTCCCATGTATTTAGAGGGATCCCCGGACTTCTAAGTCGGATCGAAGAACAGCATAACCAGCACCTGATGGATGCCGTTTCAGGCCTTCGACCGGGACCTTCTGAACCTGTTGCTGGACCATCCAGAAGGATAAATCCCACGGTAAGAATAAAATAAGTTTAGAATAAATCTTTAGCATCTATAATGTATATGTTAGAATATTGATATATTTTACATTTTTTAGCCCGTGGATAACTTCGACCCGTCACAGGCACAGGGTAACGAGCTTCTCTCTGACGAAGTACTACCATCTTCACCTCGTAGTCCTTCGCCAGAGACCTCCTCTTCTTCCCATACACTGCTAGAGCCCCATCCTCTCTGCCGGAGCTGCCAACGGGAAGAAAAATCCTACGTCAAAGGATGGAATTTTTTCTAAGGGTAGGTTTTCATCGCCTAATTTTATTTCTCTTACCCAACCATAACTAAACATCAACAGAAAAATAAAACTTGATTTTTTTTCAGGATATCGATGCCGACAGTGGTGACAGAGCTTCGTGGAGAGCTATCGGCCACCTCAACACCACAAGGACGGAACTGAGGGAGGTGTTGACATTGGCAGATTCCGCAATTGGAATGGCCAGCCGAGCAGAGATGGCAGAAGTTGCTCCAGTCATCTGGAACGAGATCCGGACGTCCTTGGAGCGGATCCTCATGATGACAGGACAACAAATGGACGACAACATCATTCGAGGTCAAGAAACCCCTACCGAACCTCAACGGACCATCACTTGCCAGATCTGTCAGGATGCTCTCCCGACGATAGTTCTTCAGCCTTGTCACCATACCCTTTGTCCGGCATGTGCTATTAGATTATACGTTTGCCCGTTCTGTCGAAAGACAGTAACGGACAGGAAAAGACTCTTTTATGATGGTTAAATTTAAATATTAAAACATAGGGTAAACTTTCAGTCAAATTGTATTATCTTTTCACATACTACTTGCCATTTTGTTTCATATTTATAATTTTATTCCATTAATCACAAATTTTAAGTTTTTTAGATTTATGCTTCGTATTTATAATTTTATTCAATAAATCACAACTTTATGTTTATCAAAATAGATCTATTAAAATAAAAGATATATATTGATAAATTTCGACTATTCAATTAACCTACCATCCCCTAGCCTATAGATAGAGATTTATAACCAATCAGAGACAAGCTTATTTTCAACCAATCAGAGAACACCTGATTCAAATATTTTTGTCCGTTAATTTCAATACCACAGTCACTTATTTATAACCAATCAGTGACAAGCTTATTTTCAACCAATCAATACCAAGATAATTCATAAATCATAGAGGAACACCAAAGAAAGAATTAAATATTATAATTATTAAATATACATTAACATAAGAGTACACAACCACAGTCTTCAACCCTTCCAAAAACAACAACCCCACCTAAACCCACCCCCCAACTCCAACACCCACCCCCAACACTAAATCCACCCCTTAAACCACCCCCTACTCTAAATCCACCCCTTAAACCTCCCCTAATCCAAAATCCACCCCTTAAACCACCCCTTACACAAAAACCACCCCTAAATCAACCCATTCAATCCACCCCTAGGCAACACGCAACACACCAAAACTACCCCTGCTAGATCGGGGGGCCTTCTACTCATGTCACAGACTCGCGGGTAAAAATAACTCGTTAAGGGTCAAAGAATCTTAATCAGAGCAAGGGTGGTCCCAGGGCCCCCCCTGGGAATGCATGTACAAGGGTTCAGGTGGGGGGCTCTGTACAAGGGTCAGGGGGGTCATGACCCCCCCCAAATATTTTTCATCTGGATTAACTAAGGTGGCACTTGCACACGCGTATCAAGTACAAATGCATCTACCATCGCACTGCCACTGCCACAGCCACTACTAGTGTCTGTCTAATGAGTGTCTAGTGTCTGTCTATCGCTCGCCTCACCACAGCCTTCTCGTCGCCTGTCGCCATCACACTACTTCAGTTCCTGAATTGGCCGCATGGTGGCGGTATTGAATCGAATGGATGCCTAGATCGTACGTTTCAGAGAAATCCGCCAGGGACCTCAGCGGTCGCGCCAATTTTCCCGAGCTTCAACGCTTAGCATGGGGGTGAATTATCTACTTGAGGAGTGTGTTTAATCTATGGTATCGTATCATTGCGGTAAAGGTTGACGTCATGCCATCGGCACGGAGCGGTGGTGGGGGGTTTCCGATCTGATCCAATCCTGTGATCCACGATCCTCGGAGTTGCACTGGCTGCCTAGACACGCTTATGGTCGAGGTCGTCGGCGTCGCAGTCACAGGTGCTGTGCTGTGCTGATGCTGATGTTTGAAAGTGGCAATTTGAACAATATAACCTCTCGGTCAGTATTAATTAATATATATTATTTTTATATGATTTCCATTCGTAATATTTGAGTTTCTCAAGAAAGCAGACGGTAGGTGTACCGGTATGGCTCTGGGGAGTGGGATTTTTTATACGTTATTTATCGCAATTCGGGGAAATTTTTTACCAAGCAGACTACTGTTGATTAGGCCTAGTTGAATCCTCGTTAGTCGTTATCATTTGAGCCTGTAAGTTGCGATTCTGTAGGCCTAAGTTTAAGATAGTGTCTTCTTGATTTTGTAAGAAGTTGTGGGTAGGTGTATGGCTCTGGGGAGTGGGATTTTTTAAGCGAGATTTATCCCTATTCGGGGAAATTTTTTCAAACTTTTGATCCCTTTCAGGGATTTTCTCCAGTTTGTACCTACAGCTGTATAAACCATGTAGCCCTACTATTTTTGGGGCGAGGAATTCGATGGGACCATCGCCGTCCCCCTACGAGCCCCCCCTTTCTAATTACAAGGGGTAGATGGATATTCTTTGAATAAAATATATTTGTTTTCATGTGTATTTATTTATTATATTATCCTCCATACAAATAAACTCATTTTAACACTTATACTGCCCCCTTGTACTGTAAGGGCAAGACCCTCCCCCCCCCTTTGACTAAATATATATAATTTTGGAGAATATGTCGGTAAATCAGTACAAAAATAATAAATATCCCCTATTTTTGGGGTGAGAAATCCAATGGAACCATCGCCGACAACCTAACCCCCCCCTTCCTACTTACAAGGGGGGGAATTCCCCCCCCAGCCAAAATATTTTTTCTTCCCTATTATATTGATTTGTTATGTTTTCCTAAATACAAATACACCCTTTACAACAGTTATATTGACCTCCTTGACCTGTAAGGGGGCGACACCCCCCCCCCCATTTGCTAAATGTATATAGCTTTCGAAATTTTGTCTATAAAGCAGTACAAAACCATGGATATCCCCTATATTCGGGGTGAGAAGTTCAATGGCGCAAACCCCGTCCCTCCATCATCTATAGTTTTCGATTTAGGGTGGGGGTATATGGATCTGGGGAGTGGGTATAAAATACGTGTTCTGGGATGTATGAGGGGTTGTGATGTAGTTTTTTACCCTATTTTGGGGTCGAGAAATTCAATGGCGCAAACCCCGTCCCTCCATCATCTATAGTTTTCGACTTAGGGTGGGGGTATATGGATCTGGGGAGTGGGTATAAAATACGTGTTCTGGGATGTATGAGGGGTTGTGATGTAGTTTTTTACCCTATTTTGGGGTCGAGAAATTCAATGGCGCAAACCCCGTCCCTCCATCATCTATAGTTTTCGACTTAGGGTTGGGGTATATGGATCTGGGGAGTGGGTATAAAATACATGTTCTGGGATGTATGAGGGGTTGTGATGTAGTTTTTTACCCTATTTTGGGGTCGAGAAATTCAATGGCGCAAACCCCGTCCCTCGATCATCTATAGTTTTCGATTTAGGATGGGGGTATATGGATCTGGGGAGTGGGTATAAAATACGTGTTCTGGGATGTATGAGGGGTTGTGATGTAGTTTTTTACCCTATTTTGGGGTCGATAAATACAATGGCGCAAACCCCGTCCCTCCATCATCTATAGTTTTCGATTTAGGATGGGGGTATATGGATCTGGGGAGTGGGTATAAAATACGTGTTCTGGGATGTATGAGGGGTTGTGATGTAGTTTTTTACCCTATTTTGGGGTCGATAAATACAATGGCGCAAACCCCGTCCCTCCATCATCTATAGTTTTCGACTTAGGGTGGGGGTATATGGATCTGGGGAGTGGGTATAAAATACGTGTTCTGGGATGTATGAGGGGTTGTGATGTAGTTTTTTACCCTATTTTGGGGTCGAGAAATTCAATGGCGCAAACCCCGTCCCTCCATCATCTATAGTTTTCGACTTAGGGTGGGGGTATATGGATCTGGGGAGTGGGTATAAAATACGTGTTCTGGGATGTATGAGGGGTTGTGATGTAGTTTTTTACCCTATTTTGGGGGTGAGAAATCCAATGGCGCAAACCCCGTCCTTCCAACATTTATAGTTTTCGATCTAGGGTGGGGGTATATGGATCTGGGGAGTGGGTATAAAATACGTGTTCGGGGGGGTATGAGGGGTTGTGATATATGTTTCTACCCTATTTTGGGGGTGAGAAAGTCAATGGCGCAAACCCCATCCCTCCATCATCTATAGTTTTCGATCTAGGGTGGGGGTATATGGATCTGGGGAGTGGGTATAAAATACGTGTTCGGGAGGGTATGAGGGGTTGTGATATAGTTTTTTACCCTATTTTGGGGGTGAGAAAGTCAATGGCGCAAACCCCATCCCTCCATCATCTATAGTTTTCGATCTAGGGTGGGGGTATATGGATCTGGGGAGTGGGTATTAAATACGTGTTCGGGAGGGTATGAGGGGTTGTGATATAGTTTTTTACCCTATTTTGGGGGTGAGAAAGTCAATGGCGCAAACCCCATCCCTCCATCATCTATAGTTTTTGATCTAGGGTGGGGGTATATGGATCTGGGGAGTGGGTATTAAATACGTGTTCGGGAGGGTATGAGGGGTTGTGATATAGTTTTTTACCCTATTTTGGGGTCGAGAAATTCAATGGCGCAAACCCCGTCCTTCCAACATCTATAGTTTTCGATTTAGGATGGGGGTATATGGATCTGGGGAGTGGGTACGAAATAGGTGTTCTGGGGGGTATGAGGGGTTGTGATATAGTTTTTTTACCCTATTTTGGGGTCGAGAAATTCAATGGCGCAAACCCCATCCCCTCCAACATCCTTAGTTTTCGATTTAGGGTGGGGGTATGGATCTACAATCAGCAACGACTCTAGTGAAATTCTAGACCGTTAACAACAGTAGCCGAAGACTGAATCTATAATCAATGGTAAAGTGGTTCCATCATTGGTAAAATAATCATCGACTAGAGTAAGTATCTTGACCGTTAAGAACAGTAACCGAGGTGATTCCATAATCAATTCAAAGAGGGATTGCACATTAGTTTAATAATCAACGGCTGAAGTTGCAATCTAATCCATTAAGAACAGTAGCCTATGAATTCCATAGTCAACGGTACGGGTACTATAATATATGCAACATATAATATCTATATTTATATTAATAATGATATACTACAGGAAACGATAGATACACAAACTAACACTTTGTATGATATAGATATTGATATTGTTCATGATATATAACAGGCAGTGGATTAGAATTATAAACTAGATTGACCGAAACAAGGGGAAGGCGCTACAACCAGACTACTCTCCTATTGGCCCAGTTTTTAACGCAAAACTAAACTGGCGCTATCCCATTGTTACTATACTCACAAACCACGCCCACTTTACAACTTTAAATACTTATTTCTAAGCAAATGCAAATTATACAGTTAAAAGAATAAAACTTTATCCTTAAAATATAACAAAGATTTGCCAGAATAACAATTTACAGTAGAATAAACATCTTTTCTAGGGGTCAAACGAACATTCGCAAGAACGTGGCTAATCTGAGCCGCCCCATAGTTTTTGATCCGAAAATACATTGTTGATAGCATCATCATACACTCTTTTTTTTTTACTCCTCTGATTGTATCAAAATAAATTATTCACAAAAATGGATAATGTTATATGATGTAAAATAATGTACCCAACAATTAATTTTGGTCCTATAATATTTTTCCTTTGCCGTTTTCGTTCACATGCCACACAGGAATCTTTTTACTAACAGGTCTTATATATTTGTATTAATAACTTTAACAAATCCATGTTTATGGACTCTAGCTATCTAAAGCACAATGAACGATCTTTTCCCAACAGTTAGATATGGCTGCTGTGCAATGAAAAAGTCAAAACACTCTTCCGAAATCAATTATTTACAAAAATTAAATAATGCCATACGATTTAAAATAATGTGTCCAAAAATTATGGTCATGTTCATGTAACATCTTTTTGTATCTAGTGTAATCTTAAGTTATTTTGAGCCGAAGTCCAGCTAACGTGTCTTTAGCTCTCAGCTTACAACGAGTTTTCATAATCATAAAACTATTATGTAAAGATCCCCCCCACTTTTTATCGTTTCAAATAGTATTATACTGTACTTGAATGTATAACATATGAAAAAAACCCGCCACTGCAAGTAAGCGAATTTCCATTTGCCATTTGGGTGTACACTAAAAATGCCTCCTTAAAAATACCACATTTATTCCCTATTTAAATAGAATTAGTTTAACGAGTACTTAGGTTTGCTGCAACAAGGGCGGTAAAAAAGTTTGTTTTTCCAAAATGTTAATAGTTTAGTAAATAATGAATGTATTTTCCGAAATTGATCAAAATATGTTCATAAAAAAGCAAAACACAGTTGACTTATTCTTAAATCTTGAGGAGATATTTTGTTGTTGTTGTAGGCCTACTTTCAAAATCTATACGCTTTTTCTGAAGTCCAAATTAATATTGAATATTTTTGTTATTATCTGCACGGTACTTTGTTAATATATAATATACCGTTTTACTGGACTGATGGCTTGATTCGTGGAGATTAAGATTTGCAAATAATGAATTATGAAAGTTTGTTTTAGTTATGGTTTATGGTGATAAATAAAAAAATCCTGTTTTCCATTATAAATAAAAAAACAATTGTATTTTACACGTTTTTTTTTATTTGGAGGAAACTTTCTCCTACCTTTATTAAGTATTTTCAAGAAATGCCTAGCAATTGTAGAACATTTCATTCTCTTTCAGAATACTGTACCACCTTCCTCTGCGGTCGATTTATTAACAGCCTTTTTTAACCAATTTTGTGTATGTGTGTGTTTCGTGTGGAAATGTTTCTGTGTTATAACAACGTCTTTTAGCCGAACAGTTTGATGATAGCACATTAATGCTGAAACGGCCGTAACATTACAGGAGCTGAGCTGGCTGACGAATGTAACACTTCAATTTAGTTATAGAACCAGCTTTGGAGCAAGAAAATATGAAAAAAGACCCCATAATTATAGTTTAACTTAACATGCCAGTAGAACAACAAATGCCACACGTATAGTTTAGTCATATGGTTTGGCTCAACAACTAATTTAATTCAGCGAGTCTACGCCCCTGAATTTAACTTTCCTCCCGCGGAATGGCAACACTGCCAGGTAAATGCAGTGATGTATTCAGTATTTAGGCACTAAATTTCCCGTTCGAGCCC